ATAGCAAATTTTAGTAGAATGATATTTCTGTTGACAAAATTACTAGATCTTTTTAAAACCCAGGATACAACAAACTTTATTTTCTCTTAAGCCACTCCTTTTATTAGTTTAAGTACTCCTTATACTATCTCCTTTTGCCTTTCTTTCAGTCTTTCAAAAATTTTTACAAAAAGTGAGGATTTGGTTTAACTCCTCCAAAAGATTGGTATTAATTATATCCTAATTTGGATGAACATTGTAGAATGCAACTACATGTCTTGTTTACTTGCGAATATGGTGCTACTTCATGTGACTTGAATCAGGGTCTCAGGTTAAAGAGATATCTGAAACTGGTTAATAGTTAAACAGTGTATTCATTTAGATATTGTATTATATTAGAGATATACAATTGTTATAGTTGTTATAAAATTTTTACTTCACTTGGCACAGGTTACAATAATATATTTCCCTTTTTTTTATTATTATAACTTTTGGGTTTTTGCCTACTACTTCTTGATAAAGATAGTTCTCTCTTTGTCAGCTCTAACAGGCTTATTCTCTTCATCTCTCTTTTTTTGTATTTCTTTGTTCCTTTTTTTATTTTTTTTAAAAATTTCCTTTTCATTTATTTTGTTTCTTATTAGATATAGTTTTATTTTTTCATTATTTGGTTATTTTGTATTGTTTGATATAAATCTTTACTTTTTTTTGCTTTTAGTAAAAAAAGAAGAATTGAAGGAATTAGCTTGTAATGGGCTGACAAAGTTTATTCAACCTGTATACAAGATGGTGTGATAGGTTACTAATGGGCATGTTTTATATAGCCAGTAGATGTTAGACTTGCAATTTTCTTGCTTCTAACTTGTTTAGATTAGAAATGTTACTAGTTTTTAAATAAAGTTGCTTGTATTTCAGCTCTGACAAAACTATCAAAAATCAAAAAAAAAAATAATAAAAATAATCTTTCAGAATAATATATTACCTGATTGTATATGTAGAAGACTCACTACTAGTAGTAGCTTCTGCTGATGATAATAATTTGCTATCTTCATTAAAGTAAGATATATTTATTAGTTCCAAAGTTTTATTATAAGATAAACTTGGTAATAGACATGACATTATACAGAATTATAATTATGTCAAATCAAGTAATATTTAAAAGTTTTTCTTTAGAAAAAAAATATATGTCTTAAGAAAAAAAAAAACTTCTTAAAAAAGAAAAAAAAATCAAGAGTTTTTTTAAATCTAATTATTTTTTTTACACTGCTAATGCTATTAACTTCCTCCTACCCTGCTAATTCCTTCTTATCTCTTCTAATTTTTTCTTACTTTTATCATTTTCCCACTCTTACTAATGTCTCCCATCTTCAGAACTAATATATAAATAACTTTTTCTTATTGTAATTATATTCGAATTTAACAAAATAATAATAAGGAGGAAAAAGTAAAGGTTTTAGAGTTATTATATTGAGATTATTATACTTCAAATTGCTCATTTACTATTGGTCACAAATTATCTAATTTGAATATATAACATTGTACATATGTATATAACTATTACTATAGCAATGCTTATATTACCAGATTGGTTCAGATATTACAAAATTGGGTCTATTTTAGAACCCAAATTTGCTAGTTCTAAAAAATTATGAACCCGACCCAATCCATAAGTTCTGGTTCAGTTTAGGTTCGAGAAACACTAGTGAGGAGATATTTTTACTCAAAGTTAAAGAAAATTAAACCACCTATTAAAACAAGTTATAAATTTTTTAATACTTTGAATAAAGATATCTTCAATTATCTAACCAAAATCGATAAAAATTTTTATTTGAATTCTGTAAATCAATAGAATTTATATAAAAAATTTTAATAAACTTTGGTCAGATAGTTGTAGAGATATCTTTACTCAAATTTAAAGAGAAATCAAATCATGAGACACTTGAAGAACAAGTACCCCAATAATAAGTGTTTTAGTTTATCTACAAAAAATTTTACTCTTATGTAATTTTTATCCAATTAGGATATTAAGGTTAGAGGTTAGGGTTATTTAGATTAGGTTTAAATCAAATTAAGAGATAAATTCATTGATTGTTGCAAATTATAATAAAATCAAATTCAAATAAAACTAGCAATCTTTTTTGCTTATTTTTAAAGCTTATAAAACCCACTTATACTCTTTTATTAATAGATAGGATTTATCTATATTACTGGAGTATACTATACTACTAAGTAACATTTTTTAACTCTATTATCTGTTAATTTTAAAAATTAATTATTTACTAAATACATATTTCAGATATTTTCATTCTGGAGTATTTTATATTTATTATTTGAAAGCTATAGCTATTTTTTATAATTTTACTGAATATAATTTGTAATTAGAAAATTTTAGTTTAGACTAATTTTATATAGTAGTTATTAATTATCTTATAAACCAAATTTAATAATTAAAAAAATTTTATTATATAAATTTTTTTAAATTCTTAATAAAAGTTGTAAAGACTAGTTGGTTAACTTAAATTATAAAATTTGGCTAAAATTGGATTAATATATAAAAAGTAATTTAAATTTAAAATTTTTACTAATAATTACTATATAAATATTTTTAAAATTTTATATATAAAAATAGATGAACTTTTTTTAAAATTTAAAGCAATATAATTTAAAATAAACTATTCAGATATTAAAAAAAAATTTAGAATCAAATTTTAACTATAAAAATTTATAACTCTATTAAAATTTTAAAGAATTTAATCAATAAATTTTTTTAAAATTATATTTAAAAACTAAAGGGATTATATAAAATACTAAAAATAGTAATAATTTTCAACTAATAGCTTATAAACCTTTATAGTAAAAATAATAGGCTTTATAATAAAATTTATAATAATAATTTAAATATAACAAATTTTAAATATTTTTTATATAATTAAAGTTTTAGTTTGTAAATTTATAATAAATTTATTAGTATAATTATTTTTAATAGTATATTACTGTTAGTACAAAAAAATTGCTAAATTCAATTTAAAAAAAATTATTTCTCAACAATTTTATTAATAATGTTAAAATAAATTAATTTCTGTAATACTATAATATTTATCAGATTTTTTGATATAAAAAATTTTATAATAAATATTTTTTAAAATTTTTAGAGTATTTAATAAATGTAATACCAGTAGTACAAAGTCTAATCCTATCCATTAATAAAACTAACTCTAAATCCTAACTCTAATACTAACCTTAACTCTAAAAAATGTTACCCAAAAAATTTTAAATTTTTCTAAAAAACTAGAAAAATTTCATTTTAATCTGATTTTATTTTAATTTGCTATATTGATTAATGTTTTTGTGATGATCTACAGGTGTTTCCAGCGATTATCATATCATATAAAATCTTGCAATTACATCATTTGTTTACTATTATTAAACAAATTAGACTAAACTAATCTATTACCTAATTTTACCCTAATACTAACCTTAACGTTGGCTAAACACTTAATTAGATAATTTGATTATCATGAAGATATTACTAGAGTACTTGTTCTTCAATCTTCTCTTAAAAGGTCTATTAAAATAATTGAACCTAGGTGCTGCACAAAAAATATGTGGCAAATCCACAACTTTGATTGGCTAAGTGTGATAATCAAAAAATTAGGCTGAATTACCCATAATTTACTAATGAAATTACAACCGCCTATTAAGTAAAATTGTTACTAGACTAATTTTATTATAATGTAGGCTTATTGTTTAAAAAAAGTTTTGTTTTTGTAATAAAAAAATTAAAAAAGCTAATTCCGGCCAGAAATTAGTAAACAATTATGTATTGCAGGCCAAAATTTTAAAAATCCTCAGCTGTTAGACAATCAAAATTGGGAATCTGCTGCGTATATTTTTTATCAAAATAATTAACCATAGCTATGCAACAAATTTGGACCAGCAGATTCTCGATTTTGATTGGCTAATGGCCGATGATCTTCAAAATTTTGGCCCACATTACAAAATTGTTTACTAAATTCTGGCCAGATTAACTTTTTAATCTTTTCATTACAAAAATAGAAATTCTTAACAAATAAGCCTGCATTATAGTAAAATTAACTCAGGAACAATTTTCACTTAATAGGCGGCTATGATTTCATTAGTAAAATTATGAGTAATTCTGATCATTGCTCTTAGCCAATCAAAATCGAGAATCTGCTAGTCCAAATTGTTGCAGCAGCTATGGTTAATATTAAAATAGGTGCTGCACCGAATTTTTTCAAAAATTTGAGTATAGATATCTTAATAACATTTAACTGAAATTGATGAAAGTTTTTTATTCAAATTATATAGATTCATAGAATTTAAATAAAGAATTTTTAGTGATTTGGCTAGTAGTGAATATATCTTGCTCAAAGTTTTAAAAAAATTTGGCGCAGCTTTTATTTTAATAGGCATTTTAATTTTTTTCAAACTTTGAGCGAAGTTATCTCCACAACTAACTAACCAAATCGGTAAAAAATTTTTTTAATCAAATTCTATGGATTTATAAAATTCAAATAATCGATCTTAGTCAATTAGTCAAGTGGGAGCTACCTCGATTAAACTTTTTGAAGATCAAGTACCCCAGTGATATATTTATAATAATCATATCACATATTAAGTGTTTGGCCTATGTTAAGGTTAGTGTTAGGGTTAGGTGATAGGTTAGTTTAGGCTAATTTGTTTAGTGCTGGTAAACAAAAGACATAATTGTATAATTTACGTGATGTAATGATCACTGGGGTACTGTATACGTAAATTTTAAACCCCTACTTTTGTACAATACAGCAATAAGAAATATGTGTTTATCTTCGATCTTAGCCAATCAAAATTTTTTGCTAATCAGCCAATAAAAATAAATAAATAAATTTCAACCGAGTACGTATTAACATGCTTTGTTGTCTTAACTATGTATTATATTAAATATTTAGATGTGACAGTGTACTTTCAAAGATCAAAATAGTATGTCTCAAGCAAAAAATGAAGAAGCCTCTCGAATTTAGATGATAAGGACCGAGACAAATTTCCAAGGCCATTATTTTGATCAAAAATACCTTACCATTCAAAGGCAGGCTTTGATAAAGCTTAGAATAGCTCTTAATGAAACATTGGATAAGTTTGGGGACATTAAAATAGAGATAGTCGCATAGCTGTGTCTTTTGAACACTTATAATCTTCCTTTAAAGATGCAAGTGACAAGCTACAAGATCATTTCACTGATTACGAAAGTTCAGTTGAAGCATTTAAAAAAGATGCTTTGGAAGAAGTTAAAAACAAAAAAAGAAAAGGCCGATCAAATCAAGAATCCCAAACAAAAAAAAGAAAAACTACAAGTACAAAGGGTAAATATAAAAATGCTTTATTGAATTTGTTTATAATATCGAAATTACTCATCACTTCAATATGATGAACTATTATTAGCCACCAGCTCTTCAAATCAGGCAAATAAAAATAAAAAACTCCTCGTAAATGGTAACTATAAAAATATATGAAAGCGAATAATAGAATCAAGCAAAATTTTTTTGGTAAATTTTTTTTTAAATTTTAGCAAATATAACTCAACAAGAACTAAAATTTTTAAAATTTTAGGATACTGCTCAAATAATGAGTCATGGGAAGCTTTAGAATATCTAGGGGATAGGGTGCTCACTTCTTGTCTCCTAAAAATCGCTGGGCCACGATACATTAAAATATATAAAGCACAAGAGATTAAGAAAGGCGTACAGTACATTGTCACCAATAAAATTTGGTGGCATATTCGGGCTCCGCGAATACAAATACAATAACATGAAATCATTTAAAGTGGTAAAGAAGCATCATGCTGACGCAACGATCGATCTGGTAAATTCGGAAAACCAGAATATAAATAATGAAGAATCGAGTACTGATGGTAGTGAATCTGAATCTGAAATTTTAAGAAAGTACAAAAAAACTCTTCACGAAGTATAAAAGGATCTTTTTTTTTTATCATTATATTTCTATGTTTAAATAAATATATTTATTAATTTTATGTTTTAGCGCTTGATTGTCTTGAAAAGTCCAATAATCTTCCCAAGCAAAAAAATGGCCTCGAAGTATTGAATCGAACCTTAAACCTATTCAGAAAATGGTAGATGACATTAAAGATTTCGAATGAGCAAAAAAGCTTCCAAAACTTGGAGTGGACGTAACAAAAACACCTTTTATTGGTAGTATTAAATTCAAATTTAAAGCTTTATACGTGTAAT